TGGTGGAAAAGAGGCCAGTCTAATGGGGAGGCGCCTGATCAAGGGCAAGACAGATTCCAACTCGGTGAGACTCACCCGTGTATTCCACAGAGTTCCTGGGGACATTGATGAAGTGAACGCCCTGAAGCTACAGGTAGACCAGTGGAAGGTGCCTACAGGCCTGGAGGACCCCCATGTCCCTGGTGAGCCCATTCCCCTAGGAGCTGGAGCGGGTCTGGGCCGTTGGAACAGTGTGGCTCCCGGTCCATTTCCACCACAGACACCCCCTGCCCATCAGAGTCTCCCTGGGGCCTCCTTCCTGCAGCCCTCCTTCATTCCCTGCACAATCCCCCAGGCCTCCAGGGCCGGCCTGGGCAGCCTACCTGGGCTAGGTGGACTCTTTCCAGTCTGGTCACGCCACTTGCCTCCCCTCCCCGACACATCCCCTGCCTCGCCCTTGCTCCCACTACAGGGGTGCCTGCCCAGCAGGCTGGGCTGAGCCCTCCCCCTCCTCCCTGCCCTGTGTCTGTAGCGTCGCTGCTGAAGCTGTGGTATCGGGAGCTGGAAGAGCCCCTGATCCCGCACGAGTTCTACGAGCAGTGCATCGCACATTACGAGAGCCCTGAGGCCGCCGTGGCCGTGGTGCACGCGCTGCCCCGCATCAACCGCCTGGTGCTGTGCTACCTCATCCGCTTCCTTCAGGTACACGGTGGCACTCCCCGCACCCCCCCCCCCCAGCACTCAACATGCCGGCCTGGGCCCACCCTCCTCTCCCTTCCGCAGGTGTTCGTGCAGCCAGCCAACGTGGCCATCACCAAGATGGATGTCAGCAACCTGGCCATGGTCATGGCACCCAACTGCCTGCGCTGCCGGTCGGACGACCCGCGCGTCATCTTCGAGAACACTCGCAAGGAGATGTCATTCCTACGCGTGCTCATCCAGCACCTGGACACCAGCTTCATGGAGGGCGTGCTATAGCACGTGGGTCCCAAGGACCGAGGATGGGGACAGAGCCAACGCTCGGGTGTGCGCCCGGGCAGGGGAGCACGCCGGGAGGGGGGAGGGAACGCCCCAGCCGCGGAGGCAGCATGCCAGGCCCCGCCCATGCCCGCCCCAGCCCTGGAAGCCCCCAGCTCTCCCACCCAGGCCCCGGGCCTGAGGTCGCAGCCAGGGCAGAGGGGTTGTGGGAAGGGCGTCTCTGTCCGCACACCCCCCTCCCACCCCGCTGCCTCGTGGCCAGTTCTGTGGGCACCGCCCCGCCCACCACCGGCCGGTCAGCCCCGAGAAAGTGCCTTCTGTTTCCTGGAGCCAAGTGACACTGCCCCTCCCGGCCGGCCCGAGAGCACATGCCACCCTCCCCTGGAGCTGGGGCTCCTGCGCTCAGCCTGGCCCTGGCCTGGACCCTGCCCGGCTGCCCCTCTTTCCTCTGCCCCTCCCCGGTTCCCCTCTGTTTCCTTCCTGGCCTGCAGCCTCCTCCTGCCCCCTGCCCCCTGTGGCCTCCAACGTGGAGACCGCGGGAATTTGGGGGCCCCAGGGCACTGGGCCTGGCACCAGAGCAGGGCCTGGCAGACTCTCTCTGGGTAGGGAGGGGCCCCCAAACCAAAGTCCTCTGGGGTCAGGGGCAGGGTTGAGCAGGCATTCTTGGGGCAGGGTGGGGGTGGGGGGCAAGAGTATTTTTTTCTTCGTGTAACTATAAATTCAGAATCTATACAGCACACCAACCCGCCTGTGTATAGAGATATAGAGGGAAAGATATAAGAACTAAATTTGCTAATGACATAGTTTTAACCCAAATGCTATTTATCTCTGAGCCGTCCTAGCCTGTCCTCTGCAGAGCAAGTTGATCTCACTCCTTCATTTTCTTCGCCACTTTCTTGGCTCCTGACCAAAAACCAAACCCTGCCCCATCCCCATCTGGAACCTGCAGTAGAAGAGAGGGAAGGAACCCCAAGCTGGGGAACCAGGGAGCGCCCAGGAGTGCCCTTCCTCAAGGCCAGAGCTGGGGTTAGGAAGTACCTAGACTCTCAGTTTGTACATTTTCCATTTTGGAATTTTGAGTTCCAATTGTAAAACTTAATTTCTCCCCAGTTTATATATATATACATATATATATATATATTTTTTAGAGTTGAGTTTTTATTTATTAAAAACAAAAAAGCCCAGCCCTGCCGTGGCCCGGGTGTTCCCTGAGGTAGCGTCCTCAGTCGGGTGGTCTCCGGGCCTGGGGTGGGTGGCCCGGCCACAGACTCTGGCTCTGACGCATGGACTCAAGAGGTGACAACACTTTGTGTGAATAAAATACATAACGGACACTTGAGAGCCATGGTCACTTTCTGTCGACTCCTGTTCTTCCAGTCGCAGCAGGACTGCAGGGGGCTGGTTTGGGGGTTGGGCAGCCCACCACATAAGCCAGCCTGTGGGCTGGCACAGTCACCTGGGTGGACAGACCAGAGGAGAATGCGGGGGGGGGGGGGGCGGCGCGGGGGGCTGCAAGCAAGGCTGGTTCCTGGGAATGAGGGCCAGGGAGGAGGCACCAGGTGGGTGTTGGGCCGCCCTGCGCCTTCTGAGGCCCCCGGGGTGTGTCTCTTGACCTCTTTATAAAGGCCTGTCTGCGCGGGGAGTGGGCTTTTTGCGACCCTCCCTACCCTCAATCTGCCACAGACGGCTAGGCAGTGTTGATTCCGAAGCTGCTCGAACACGCAGACTCCGCCCCACCAAGCTGACTTTCTGAGCGGTAGGCCGAGAGGCAAGTGCCGGCGGTCGGCCCCCGAGGGCAGAGGGACAGGAACAGAACCTGCACTCCCGCCAGAGCCCCGTTCCCAGTCCGTCTCGCGTGCGCACCCCGCCGGCAGGCGGTCTCTTCCCCACCCCACCCCCCACCCCCCACCCCCCACCCCGGCGGGTTGGCAGGACGGGCCGCTCCCGCAGGCCAGAGAATGAACAGCGTCGGGGCTGCCCACGGCCCTGGAATCCCGCGCGATCCGGGAAAGCGAGCTCCGCGACCGCCGCCGGAACCAAAGTGTGAGGCCGCGGAGTCGCGGGGAGGAAGCTTGTTCACGCAGCGCCAGTCCCGCGTGACCCGCGCGCCGCTTCCGGCGCGGGAGGAAGATGTGGAGGGCATGCAGGGCGCTGCGGCCCTGCGCCGTGGTCTTGGCGCGGTCCCCGGGGACCCGGGCCTGCGGCGGGGGCGGGGGCGTCTCCTACACGCAGGGCCAGACCCCAGAGCCCCAGACGCGAGAGTATTTTTATTATGTGGATCATCAGGGCCAGGTGGGCCGGGAGCGTGGCCGGAGCGGGCGCACCGGTTAGAGAGGTGGGGCCAGAGAGGGGGCGCCTGTGAGAGGGGCGGGGCCGGATGGGTGGGCGGGGTCTTTAAAGAATGAGAACTTGACTGCTGAGGTGGGACCGAGAGTTGGACCGCCTGGGGCGCCCGGTCTCAGCCCGAGAAGGGTCGCCCCCCGCCCCGCACCCCCAGCAGCCAACCTGCCACACGTTGCTGCGTCTCGTGCGCTCTGCATCCCCAGATCCTGCCCGACCCTGTGATCCCCAGCTTCGGGTCGCCCTGCCTGTTTTGCAAGCCCTGGCAGGGGAATCATCCAGCATATCCGGGAGGAAGCAGGTCCGGGAGCCTCCGCGGAGGAGGTGGCACATCTGATTAGAAACTTTTAAGGAGGAAGGGAGAGGTACAGGGAGGACATGGCAGCTCAGGAACCCGCACGGCCCCGAGTGCGGGATAGATGCAGGAATGTTGGCAGGGTCCCCAGGTTTACTTTCCACTCGCCTCCCTGCACACGGCGTGCACAGGAGCGCAAGGAGAGTGGACACTGGCCCCGGCTCAGGCCTGCCCAAGCCTCCCCGCCCTGGGGCCGACTCTGTCGGGCTTCCAGTTGGGACTCATGGGCCACGGCCTGCCCCTCTGTCTGCAGCTTTTCCTGGATGACTCCAAAATGAAGAACTTCATCACCTGCTTCAAAGGTACCGGTGCAACTTCTTCCCCACCTTTCTTCTCCCTTCGGCAAGGCCCTGGTGGGCTCTGCTCCCCAGCCTGCCGACTGGCCCGTCCGAAGCAGAGGACTGGGCATCCTGTGCTCATGAGCCCTGCTGTCTAGAGTGAGGCCAAGATGGTGTGCCCACATCCGGCGCCAGCCCGTGGCGTTGCCCAGGGCGCGCCGATTGCCTGGGGAAGTAGGGCCCCGGGTAGGGTAGCGTGGCATGGTAAGCAACCGTGTCCTTCTCCTCCAGACCCACAGTTCCTGGTCACCTTCTTCTCCCGCCTGAGACCCAACCACAGCGGTCGCTACGAGGCCTCTTTCCCCTTCCTCTCGCCCTGCGGCAGAGAGCGCAATTTCCTGCGCTGCGAAGACCGGCCGGTGGTCTTCACGCACCTGCTGGCCTCGGGCTCCGGGCCCCCGCGTCTCTCCTATTGCGGCGGCGGTGAGGCCCTGGCCGTGCCCTTCGAGCCGGCGCGTCTGCTGCCTCTGGCCGCCAACGGCCGCCTCTACCACCCCGCGCCAGAGCGAGCGGGCGGCGTGGGTCTGGTGCGCTCCGCCCTAGCCTTCGAGCTTAGCGCCTGCTTCGAGTACCCGCCCGGCGCGCCCGCGCTGCCCTCACACGTGCGCTGGCAAGGCCGCCGCCTCGCCCTCACCATGGACCTGGCCCCGCTGCTGCTCGCCGCCTCGCGGCCCTGAGCCGCAGGCAGGAAGGCTGGCGGCCGCTGGTGCCCCTGGCCCCGCCGAGGTCCCGCCCTCTCTCCCCTCACCGCTGTGGCCCGGGCCGCGCATCGCTGCGCACGCGCCACCGAAAGAGCGCGCCGGCCGAATGCGCGTGCGCGGCAGAGGTGCACCGCGGCCCCGTGGTGCTCGGCGCTGTCCGAGGTGCTGCCGCGGCTTCGAACGCGAGGAGGGGCGGGGTCGCGGGCCCTTCTACTCCCCCCCCCCCCCCCCCCCCCAACACCTCGGGCCTGGGGCGTCCTTTGGTTCGGCCCTCGCCTACAGGGGCAGGCCCCGGCGGCGCGGCTGGAGGCGCAGGGGCTCCAGTACGCGTGCGCGAGCGGCGTCCGCCCCTCCCCCGCCCTGCACTGCTCGGTGGGCCTGGGCGCCTCGGGCTCAGCGGGGGAGCCGCGCCGCGGGAGCGTCAGGTGAGGGGGCGCCCGACCCGAGGTCAGTGGGCATGGGGGTGGGATCGGGGGCCTTCCCGGCTATGTCCCCAGCGCGCATCGAGAAGGGGAGGCGACCTGGCGGGGACCACGCCCTGCCCTGAACTGGCCCGGGACAGACCCAGCTGGAGGGGATGCAGGTGACACCATGGGGGATCGAGGCACGCGACTTGGGCTTCGCACTGCTCCCGAGGGGGTCGCAGGGCTTCCTCGCCGCTCCAGTCTCCGCACAGATGGGTGCCCTGGAGACGGTAACAGCCATCGCAGAATCCTGTGTGTGACGCCCCGCCCCCTGCCCAACCGGATTAGAGGGCTGTCCGCTGGGTAAAAGGATTTCTGGGCTGGCCTCCTCTGCTCTTCCCGCCTGGGCCCTCATCCCTGCTCAGGCCGGCCCTTTTATTCCAATCAGCGTCTAGGGGGTGTCCCTGTGAACAGTGCCTTGAATCCTGAGGAGGAAGCCAAGAAGCCCCTCTACTTAAGAGGACTGGCTGCTGGAGCCTGATTGGGCAAGACCTGAACCAGCCCTTATGCTCAGGGAAGTGGATCCCAGGAGCCCAGAGTATGCCTTTAGATTCTTGGGCTTCACGCACATCCTGAGACACCTGGGAACTGACTCTGCCTGGGCCAAAGCTATTCCATTAAAACTTTTGCTGTGCCTACCTCATTTCTAGTGACTTTAAATAATCATATGAGTTACAATTTAGAGCAAGATTCGAACAGACATCAAGGGCACTTGGTCCCTTTCCACATGACTCACTCTTGCTAGCAGAGAGACTTGGAAAACAGGCAGTTACTCAGAGTGGGGACCATTTGAGGAAGGGCTGGAGGCTGCATGACAGCACACCCTCAGCTTTGCTGTCCCTGGCTCCAGACTAGCTGGCTCCTCAGCCCATGTCCCCACCTTGAAAACTGGACTCACTGTGCCTGGAACTAGACACAGGTCTTCCCATCTTTATAGGATCACCGGTTCATGTGCATAAATCCCCAACACACTATATATTCCTTTACCATCCAGGAGGTCACTGCTCCCAGAGCCCACTTGGGAACTATCCTAGAAACCCAGTTGGTGGCCCAAGGCCCCAACCCAGCTGTTCCAGGGCCCTTCCTACTCCCCAAAACAGAAGCACTTTTCTGGGAAACAGAGAGAACGTAGGCCATGGCTCGTGAACTGACTTTCCTATTGTGTATCACATCCCCCAATTGTCTAACAAGTTCCTGAGAATTAACCCTAATTCTGTCTAAGCTGTTCCACCCACCCTCACCCCCACAAGGGCTTGGGCAGGGGCTGGCCAAGCTATGCTTGCATTTTCCTGTGGCTGGTGGCTCCCAGGATCAGTTCTACCCATGTTTCCCATCAACATACATCAGGTGGGTCCCAGGGTCAGGAGACAGAGCATGAGTTCTAGGGATAAAAGGACTAGACTTAATGCTGGGTCAGGGTCAGGTGAAGACAAGGACACGTGGTGTGGGGCCTTGGGCTTCGTCTTGGGGGCACAAGACTTCTGCTCTGAGCTCTGCTTTTGGACATCTCCATGTGGACAAGGAGAAATGTCTTCCTAGAGCCTCTTCCCCTTCTAGCCTGCACTTGAGTAACTGGGTCCTGGGCTTCACCACCTACATGTTCCCAAGCCCACACATTGCACCAGCCTCTTGTACCTTAGAGTCAAGGAGTGGCTAATTGCTAGAAAGTAGAGACGCCCACATGCATGAGTGCAAAATCGCTTACGGTGCCAGATGGAAATAGATGGGAAGAGAAGGGGGCTGGGGTGGTGTTGGCTCTCCCCACATGGCCAGTGTGGTAAGACTAAGAACTCTGGAAATTCTAAATTGGAACCTGATGCTCCAAATCTTCATGACTGTGTTTTTGCAAAGGAAAAAAGCCAACTTTTCTGTTTGTTTCTTGCTTTTATCGGTTGCTTGAACTGATTTATAACTTTTCAGAAATTAGACACAGGGTGTGGGTCTCCATCCATGTTCTTCGCTGGCTCTCAAGTGTTAGGGGCAGGCCTGCCAACCTGTGTTTCAGGAGGCACATCACATCCAGGGTGGACTATAAGGAGGCCCGTCAGGAGGTTGCAGCTTCGTGGTCCGCGGCCGGTCCCGCGGGAGATGGCCCCGGGGGCGCCCACATTGCTGCTGCTGTGGCTGCTGTGGTTCCCTGGCTTCCCGCCCCGCGCTGCCGGCTGCCCAGCCGCCTGCCGCTGCTACAGCGCCACGGTGGAGTGCGGCGCCCTGCGGCTTCGCGTCGTCCCGTCCGGAATCCCACCCGGGACGCAGGTGGGCACAGCTTGGGGCCACTGGGCCGCGGGCTAGAGGTGCCCGCGACACGGAGGGAGGGGTGTGTGAATGTCCCCGTGGGTGCTGGAGAGCCCCAGGGGAGGGAGACTCCCTCAGCAGGGTAAACACCCTCCCACCCTCCCTCCGGCCCGCAGACGCTGTTCCTGCAGGACAACAGCATCGCGCGCCTGGAACCGGGCGTACTGGCGCCTCTCGCCGCCCTGCGCCGTCTCTACCTGCACAACAACAGCCTGCGCGCCCTGGAGCCAGGCGTCTTCCGCGCGCAGTCACGCCTGCTAGAGCTAGCGCTCACCGGCAACCGGCTACGCGGCTTGCGAGTTGGCGCTTTCGCGGGCCTGGCCCAGCTGCGTGCACTCTACCTGGCTGGTAACCAGCTAGTGCAGCTGCTGGATTTCACCTTCCTGCACCTACCGGTGAGGGGGGAAGGTGGGCAAGGGCAAGGGTCCTCCGATACCTCCACCTGCCCTGCGGGGCTAGAGCAGCGAAAGGGAGAAAAGTTAACCCAGGTTAGCTCCGTAAGAAGGGGACCTGGCCGCCAGGGCCCCTTCCCCTGATGATGTGCTGTCCTTCCCTCAGCGACTGCAGGAGCTGCACCTGCAGGAAAACAGCATTGAGCTGCTGGAGGACCAGGCCCTGGCTGGGCTTTCCTCACTAGCACTGCTGGACCTCAGCAGGAACCAACTGGGCACCATCAGTCGTGAGGCCCTACAGCCCCTGGCCAGCCTGCAGGTCCTGCGCCTCACAGGTACCTCCTGGGGAAGGTTCTCATGCCAGGGTATCTTCCTCGGCCACAGTGGTGGCAGTGGGAAGCAGGCCCAGGTGTGGAGTGGGCTTTGATGGCAGTGGCTCTGAATCCCAGACCATCCAGGAGCACTCTGCAGGGTCATACCATCACCTGGACCCATGGGCGGCTGATAGGAATGGGAGTGCTGGAAGGGGCACAGCTCAGGGACTTGGCCTAAGGATTAAGACAGAAAAGGTAGAAATCGTCTGTTGAGGGACTGGACACTCGGGAGCTATGCGGGGGGGGGCGGGGACAGACAGAAACTGGCAAGACGAAACTAGGGCTGGCATTTCCAGGACACAGCACCTGAGGACGAGGCTGACAGGATTGGCGAGGTCTCAGGGCTGTGGGATGCCTTTGGGGACACCGACTATCCACCCAAGTAATGGGACTTGCTGCAGGGAGAGACTTCAAAGGAGCAGAGGCTTTCTTAGAAATTAGTGAACTGGACCACGCAGCACAGGACTGCAGGGGGAGGGAAGAGCTTGCCCACACTCCAGGGAGCTTGAGGTCAGAGAAGAGGTGGCAGGGGCCCCTCTCCGGGAGGTGGGAAAGGGGTTCCGGTTCTGGCCAGCGGAAGCCCAACTGCACAGGTTGTTCTGGGACCATTCCTGAGCTACCCGTCCGCCACTGCTCTGCCCACAGAGAACCCATGGCGCTGTGACTGTGCCCTGCACTGGCTGGGAGCATGGATCAAGGAAGGGGGCCAGCGGCTGCTCAGCTCCAGGGACAAGAACATCATGTGTGCAGAGCCCCCGCGCCTGGCACTTCAAAGTCTCCTGGACATATCTGGCAGTAGCCTCATCTGCATCCCGCCCTCTGTACACGTGGAGCCGCTGGAGGTGACGGCCAACTTGGGTGAGGACCTGCGCGTTGCCTGCCAGGCTTCCGGCTACCCGCAGCCCCTGGTGACCTGGAGAAAGGTGGCCCAGCCTCGTGAAGGGCAGCCACGGGCCCAGATCCAGCCAGAAGGCGGGGCACCGCGCCCAGGCGGGCCCGGCGCCTCTGACACGGGCAGCGGCATGCTCTTCCTCACCAACATCACCCTGGCCCACGCTGGAAAGTACGAGTGCGAGGCCTCCAACGCCGGCGGCGCCGCCCGCGTGCCCTTCCAGCTCCTGGTCAACCTGTCCCAGCAGCAGCAGCTGCAGCTGGCGCCCCCGCCGCCTCCGGCCGCCGGCCCCGTCAGCCACGAGCCCCTGCAAGAGGCCGGCAGCATGGCCTTCCGCGCCCTGGGCCTGGCCACCCAGACGGCCATCGCGGGCGCCATCGCGCTCCTTACGCTCACGGCGCTGCTGCTGGCGACCATGATCTGCCGCCGGCGGCGCAAGAGAAAAAAGGCGCCGGGACTGCCGGGGGAGGGCGCGCTGTTCGTCAACGACTATTCGGACGGGCCCTGCACCTTCGCGCAGCTCGAGGAGCTCCGCGACGAGCGAGGCCACGAGATGTTCGTCATCGACCGTTCCAAGCCACTCTTCGCCGAGGGCCCGACGGAGGCTGCCGATGGCGCAGCAACCGGGCCGGCGCAGGGCCTCCCGCTGCAGCCGCCGGCAGCCTACGAGATCCACTGCTGAAGAGTGCGGCCCAGAGGGGCGGGCGGGCGCTCGCTGATGACGTAGTCTTCGCGGATTGGCGGGCCCGAGGGCTCGCCCCGCGCATGCTCCAGCGCAGTCAGTAAAGGGTAAAAGCTGCGCAGTGTGCGGCGAGCCATGTGTGGGATCTGGGGGCCCGAGGGCGGGGCGCAGGCACCTGCGGACCCCCGGCTCTGCGGACAGAATCCCTAAGGCGTCAAGGGACGGTGGCCGAGGAGGCTCCCCACGGCCCTACCGAAGCCCTCCAGAAAAGATCCCTCCAGCATCACCCTAATCGCTAGCTCTGCAGGTCCGGCCACTGGCCCTCCAGCCTGCTGGAGGACCTGGGGCCTCCCCAAGGTGGGAGAGGCGAAGGGCTGTGGAGGTGCCCAGGAAAGGGGGAGGGGGACAGCAGACCGGAAGACAGCTGTTACCCAGTGGCTACGCTGGAGGGGACAGCAGAGCCAGTGACATGTCATTCTGACCAGTTAGGACAGAAAAAAACACCACAAATTTAAGTTCCAAACACACTGCACATTTGTACCTTAATGACACCCGCTGGCTCCAAAGCCCAGCCAGGTTGTCTCCCGGGTGCCAGGGCAGAGAGAACCATGAAAGGCTCCAGTGCGTGGGGACCCAACCCACCTTGAAGCAGGTCCCTGTTCCAGCTTCAACCCCAGAGCAGTCTGTTCTTGGGAAGGGCCCAGACAGAACACCCTCTCTCAGCTCACAGCTGGCACCCCAGAAACATTCCAAAGAGAGGACCAGGACACCAGAGGGCAGCCAAGTGCACCCAAACCAAGCCTGGCCTTAACAGGTCTGGAATCCAGCCCTTAAGCCCACAGTCAGCCAGTCAGGGGAACAGGTACAGGGCAAAACCTCGCAAGGTGCTCCACCAAGCATCGGAAGGCTGCGAGAGCCCAAGAGCAAGGAAACCAGAGACCAGTGACTCCGTGTCAGGCCTCCAACAGGGTCCCAGCAAAGGCTCTGTCTACCTAAGGCGGGGAGGGGTCTCCAGCAGCCCTGAACACCAGGACAGCCTAGAGGTCATAGGCTGAAGTAGTCTGCGGCCAGGCGCCCATAAATGTCAGTGGTCCAGAGCACATGAGCACGACCTGAGGCCAGTAGCAGCTGGTGCAACTCCGCCTCCACACGAGCAAACTTCTCCTCATTGATGGAAGCTTCCAGCAGGACAGAGGCAGGCGGTGGCCAGGGCAAACCCTCATAGCAGTCCACAGGGAAGGGGTGCACCACCGTACGTAGCTCAGCCTGCACTACCGAATCCCGTAGGAGCTCCTTGAGGCCCGCCATGGACAGTGGGTTGCCATAGAGACCGAGGTAGCGGAGGCTGGTACAGCGCGTCAACACAGGGAGCGTGGCCAGCAGCTGGGTATCAGCAAGCTGGCACTCAGTCAGCTCGAGGTGTAGCAGTGTGGCTGCTGCTGCCTGCAGCAGACCCTGGAAAGGCTCCAGCTGGCTGCCGGACAGGTCGTTGCCACTAAGGTCCAACTTCTTGAGGTGGACAGCATGGGGGCTCCGTGCCAGGAAGCGCAGATCCTCGGGCAGCAGGGCACAGAAGGCCAGCTCCAGGCTCTCCAAGGGACTCTGCAGGGTGCTATAATAGGGGACACAGGTCACAACCAAGTAGGACCAGGGCAGGGTCTCGGAAGAGGGGAAAAGGACAGGGCAACAGTGGGGCTTGCTCACCTGAGCAGCTGGTCCAGCCGCCCCGAGAGAAGAGAGGAGCCCATGCTGAGCTCCCGCAGACAAGTGAAGCGGCCCATCTGGGCCAGGAAGTAGCGAAAGTTGTCCTCGCCATCCACAGAGGGCTGCCTCGAGTCCCCATGCACATAGTGCAGCCGCAGGCTGGCCAGGTGCTGGAATCGGGCCACATGTGGGATGATAACAGACAGGCCACGCAGGCCCAAGTTGTTAAAGCGCAGGTCCACACGGCGCAGGCAGCCCGCATCCAGCAGCTGCAGCAAAGCCACAGTGTTGCGCATGGGCAGGTCCTCAGCCCGCAGGTCCCGGCAGCAGAGCCGCAGGGGACTGCCCACACTGCTCCGGAGTGCCTCCCGCAGGAACGAGTAAGAGGCCCGGTTCACCCGCAGGTCCACACGAACCTCCACAGGAATGGGGGCTGGCCCAGGATCCGCAGTCCCGCCCTGCTGCTGTGCTATGCAGGTGCGGGCCACAGCTGCTGTGCAGTCCCACATGCTCATGGTGCCAGGGTCCTGCTCCACGCCGTCATCCAGTAGGCCCGTCATGTCCAGCACCCGCAGGGCATGCTTCCTGGGAGCACGGGTAGGCTGAAGCAGGAGACAAGGAAGCAGAACCCACACCCACTCCCAGCCACCTTGGGACAGAAGCCACATGCCTGTTTCCGCACTGAGCTCTTGCACTCGCCTGGAACCTCAGGGAGGAACCCTCTCTGCACCCCCCAGGCCTGAGAGCCCCTCGGGTGCACCCATACCTGCAGAGAGGCTGTGTGCCAGCCTCGGTCTCTGGGGTGTGGAGCCGGGCTGTCAGCCCCAGGATCACAGCCTGCATGCTCTCTGTGCTGGGGCGCTCTTGCAGCAAGGCCCGGCTGCAGTGAGCACATTCCTGCAGCAGCTGCTGGAAGCTGAGCAGCGGGAAGGGCCATGTGTGCACCAGCTCGCGAAGCACAACAGTCTTCTTGTCCATGAAGGCCACCTTGAACAGCAGGGGGAAGAGCTCTCGAGGCAGCAGGGGTAGGGCCTGGCAGGCAGCTGGCTGACACTGGAGCACCTGCCGCGTGCTCAGGAACACAAGCGTGTGCATGGCGCCGGGCCAGGCAGGAAGCCACCTGCAGGGAAGGGCCCTTCAGCGGGGAGGACAGACCCCAGGCCACCGCCCGGCCATAGCCTCCTCCATCGCTGGTAGTGGGAAAACCCAGCGTGGTGCTTAGCACAGAGCTGGCACTCAATGGAGGACCGTGGCACCAAAAAGCAAGTGCTAGGTGCCTAACAATGGGTTGAACTGAATGAAAATAGGAACGGGGCCACTCCCCCGGTTCCCTACTTCCAGAAGCATGGTGCCTCTTTAGGAAAACTTAGCCATCAAACGGTACATAAATAGCACAACACCAAAAATGACCACTGGCCTGGGTGTGCTTTTGATGACTGTTGCTCTGCAGGACCCCCCCACCCCCCAACATCTGTACTTCAGACCTCACAAAGCTGCTTATCAGAGATCCTCTTTTCTTCAAAACTAGAATAAAGCTCACAAAGCACACAAACACTAGAGGGGCTAAGAAACTCCCAAGGGGTGGGAACCTGCCCCACCCTCCTCCAGCTCTTGCAGGTGGTCCTTGGACAGGAACTGGAAGCACTGACGCAGCTTAATAAATACCAGCATAGGTAAAAAGAACGGGTACCCAGGGAACATTGTGTCCAGACAGCCTGAGTAACCCAAGCCTTCAGCATGGCCCTCAGTCCTAACTACTATGGTCCAGTAGTACTGCCAAGCATGGAGATCTTTGCAGACTTACAGAAAAACAGAAAGCAAACCTCATCCACCAAAGTCTTTGTCACCTGTCTAAACATCTCCCTTTTCCCTAAAAAACCACAGTGACTCTCACACCTATAGGATTCATAAGACCCCAGGCCAGGAATTGTTCAGATGGGTACAGGCAGCAGCAGAAAGCGCATCCAAGTTAACAAGGGGCATATAAAAAAGGCCTGGGACCCCGGGGGGTACCTGGATATCAGCTCTGTTACTGACTTCAGCAGCAGTAACAGCCAGTGGACTCTCAGCGGGCCAAACATCTCATCCTCAAAACTGCTTCCCAGTCATCCCCCCAGAAACAGATTAGAAAACTAAGCCCTAAATCTTGCCCGGCCAAGGTCACAGCCTGGGCGATGAGCTCAGGGAAGAGGGAGCAGTCGGGCCCCAGAGTCCCTGTTCTTCCGGACCTCATACACAACGAAAGTCCTTAGGGCACTGGTTCTTGAGAAGCCCCGAACGTCAACCCTCGGCCTTGCTCTGCCTGTAGACAATTCTCGCGAGGACGACTCATACCTCGCTGTGACAGGACAGACCAACCGAGCACCTGTCACGAGAGGAAACGAAAGCAGCCAGTGTGGTCACCATGGGAGGAGCCTCTTGTGTGGTGGCCGCCGCCCCCTCCCGCCGGCCCGCGGCTCCCGGCGTTTGCCCCAAGACGCCCCCCCGCCCGGCTCCTCCCGGGCTCGAGCCGAGGGACACCATCAATGCGACGCCCTCCGCCTCCCGGACGGGATATGCCCCTCGAAGCCGGTGCGTCGCCCCCCGGGGCCCGAGGTCGCTCTGCCCGACGCGGGGCTCCAGATCCTTCCCCACCCCGCGAACGAACCGCCCGACTCCCGCTCCCGCCTCCCGGGCGGCGCCCGCCCCGAGCACCCGCGCCTGCTTCGTGCAGCCAGGGAGGGCCGGGGGCGCACGCCGCCCCGCTCCATCCCCAGCCGGCCGCCCGCGCTCACCGGCCCCACAGCCGCTACGACCGCCACCGGCCCCGCCTCACGGTCCGCCGCGCCCCGCCCAGCGCCTCCGCGCACCGCGATGACGTAGCCACCACCCATTGGTCTTCCCATGAGGGTCCCACTGATTGGCTGCCCCGGAGGAGGCTGCCCAGACGCCCCGCCTCCGACCCTGCGGGACGCCCCCATTGGCTGGCGGCCGGCGTCTCCCTCGCGGCGGGAGATTTGCGGAGCCCGCGGCCGCGGGGCGAGCGCCATGGAGCGACTGCGGGACGTGCGGGAGCGGCTGCAGGCTTGGGAGAGCGCGTTCCGGCGGCGGCGCGGGAGGCGGCCGGGCCAGGTGCGGGCTGTCCGGGGACGGGGGGGTGAGGGTGAGGCCTCCGGCTGACGCGCTCCCTTCACAGGAGGACGTGGCGGCGGCGCCTGAGGATACCCGGGGTGAGCCCGCCGACGCGGGGCGGAAGGAGGGGCGCAGGGTGGGTGGGGCGACCGGCGGCCCCCCAGTAACCCTTCACCCCATCCCCAGCGCTCTACCGGGAGTACCGCGCCCTGAAGGAGGCCCTGAAGGAGGCAGAAGGGGTCGGACCCCGCGGCCCCAAGCAATCGCTTTCCGTGCAGGCAGAGGAGGTACCCAGGCCTTGACGCCCCAGCCTCCCGGCCAGTCTCCTGCGTGGCAGAGCCCAGAGGAGCCGTGAACGAGCCTGTGTGGGGCACAGAACATTGGGGGAGGACTGGACATGGTGGAGGAGGGCCTGGGGGCTGGGGAAGGGAGCTGGGGACAACTCCGCCCCTCGCACGAGCCTTTCTCTGGCTCGGACTCCCACCGCCTCTTCTTGCAGGTGCCAGAACCCAGCTGCTGGGGGCCCCATTTGAATCGGGCTGCGACCCACAGTCCACATCCTCCTCTTTCTGGGCCAAGCCGGCCAGGGTCTGTGCGGGACTACGGGGAGAGGCTTAAGGCCAACCTCAAGGGCACCCTGCAGGTGAGAGCTGAGAGCCAGGCAGTGAGTGCATCCAACCTGTACCCAGAGCTGCTCTCCACTCAGTGACCGGACCCCCAGATAGCCTTTTCTGCTAACCCTTCCACGCACACGTGCCTGTGCAAACGTGCACACGGACGCTCTTGCAGCGCTAATCAGGCGGAAACTCCTGGGGGGAGTTCAGGTCGGCGGCAGCCTGGAGACCTGAGTTCCTGCTTGTTGGTCTGTTCCCCCGCACCCCCACCAGGCTGGGCCAGCCCTGAGCCGCATACCCCGGACTCCACGAAGACCCTCGTCCGAGATGCCCACCCCAAGGCCACCAGGTGCAGGGGCTGCCCTCATCTCTCCAGAAGAAGTCAGTGAGGTGCCCTGGCAGCCTGCTGGGCCCCAGCTGAGGCCGGGCTGCCTCCAGCAGCTGCAGGCATCCTTGAGCCTGCGACTGGGCTCCCTAGACCCTGGCTGGCTGGAGCGGTGTCACAATGGGGCCCCAGATTTTCTGGGGGCTTCCAAGGCCTGCCAGCCTAACTTGGGTGTAGAGCAGTCACAGTCTCTGACTTCATGTGTCCCATCTGTCCCTGGTCCCAGCACTAGCCCTGAGGCTCAAGCCCTACAGACAGCTGGAGTCAGTGTAGGGAGCCCCCAACCTGGCGACAGTCGAGACAAGAGGTGGACACGGAATAGGGAGCCAGAGGGGAGCCCTGCACAGGCCCAGCAAGACAGTGGCCAAATGGGACCCCTGCCTGAGGAAGCTGGGACTGCAGAACATGCAGAAGACCCTTCGGGAAAACCCCTGTGGGCACAGCGCCCCGGTGGCGCCACAGCCTCCAGGTACCACAGCTTCAGCCTCCCGGTAGGGTCACCTTAAGTCGAGCCAGGTTGGGGCAGGCTTGGGGCATGGCCCACTTGTACATCCCTTCTAGAGTAGCTGTGCGGAACGGAGGTAATTACGTGCGGCTCAACATGAAGCAGAAACGCTACGTGCGGGGCCCGGCTCTCCGTGGAAGGCTCCTCCGCAAGCAGGTGAGGTGCTGGCAGGCACTCCCTTCACCCCTACTGCCTCTTGCCACGTGACCCTCTCTTATGGCCCCCAGATGTGGAAGCAGAAGTGGCAGAAGAAAGGGGAGCATTTTGTAGGTGGTCGGCCCAGAGCCACACTCAAGAATTCTTGCTTCCGGTGTGGGCAGCTAGGCCACTGGTCATCCCAGTGCCCCCAAGCAGGTGAGACCTCTGCTCTGGTGGTGGGCCGGGCTGAGGTTTTTGGAGAGGACTTGTACTCTTGGGCGGGGGGAGCACCTGTAGCTCAGGTAAAAGATTCTATCTGCTTCTTCTACCTAACCTAGAGCATACCCCAGCCCCCCAGAAGAAAGGTGGTGAGAATGAAGACGACACACAGACCCTGCTCACTTTGGAGGAAGTAGTCCAGAGGACAGGCAGTGCCAGCTGCCGACTCCCTGGTGAATGAAGGGGTGGAGGGCAGGTTGTAGCTAGGTGTGTTTTTGCTAGAATGACCCCAGCCCAGCCTGGAGTTCCCACACCACCCTTTTCCATCTGTTTCTAGTGAGTGAGAAAGATCCAGAGCCTGCTGGGCCTGAGCTGTTGGTCACCGTGGAACAGCCTGTGCCCCGGGTGCCCTGCCTGCCCCCTACCGTGCCACCACTTTACCCACCAGGGCCCTCTGGGCAAGTGGCAGGTGAAAAGATGCTTTTCAGCTGAGAGCCTTTACTGGGGGATGGGGGCAACTTGAGGCCATGCTGACCAACACCTGTGTCCACAGAGACGCCAGCTGAGGTATTCCAGGCCCTGGAGCAGCTAGGGCACCGTGCCTTCCGCCCCGGACAGGAGCATGCGGTCATGCGGATCCTCTCTGGTGAGCTTGGCTGTTGGGGGATGGGACAGGGCCAAGGCCCGGCCACAGGATAGCACACTGACCCTTGTTCCCACCAGGCATATCCACACTGCTGGTGTCACCCACCGGTGCTGGCAAGTCCTTGTGCTACCAGCTCCCCGCGCTGCTTTATGCCCGGCGGAGCCCCTGCCTCACACTGGTCATCTCTCCCCTCCTGTCTCTCATGGACGACCAGGTGCGCAGACGGGACCCCTCCAGCACATGCAGAAGGCAGGAACCAGTGCCCACGGCTCTTCCGACCCTTTGGGGCTGCTGTCAGTTACTTGGCCAGAGCTGTAGAGAGCTCAGCTATTCTCAACCTGCCAGCCCTGTCCACAGTCCCCGGCCTGGCAATGGTCCAAGGGCAGCAGGGACACAGCTGGCCAGACCTGAGTCCACCCCCAAGAGGAGCAGCTCTAGGGAGGGAGGACGTCCCCAGTGGGGCCTGTCTGCTCTTGGCACTCCTGAACCAAGGCTCACAGGGAGCTCTGAATCCTTAGTCACAGGATCTGCGAGCTGGGATTTTTCTCCCTAGGGAGCCCAGGTTGAAGATGGCAACAGCTGTCAGGCCAAGCACCACTGAGCGCTGTTTGAGGAAGAGCAGGGGAAGGGTGGCTTGCAACTGGTTGTCCTTTTGTACCCACAGGTGTCTGGCCTGCCCCCATGCCTGAAGGCAGCCTGCATCCATTCAGGCATGACCAGGAAGGAACGGGACTCTGCCCTGAAGAAGGTGAGGGAGGGGCCTTACACAGCAAGATGGGTAGGGACAGAAGGCAGGCCCTCGATGATGCTCCTGACCTTGCCGTCCTCAGGTTCAGGCGGCCCAGGTGCACGTTCTGATGCTGTCACCCGAGGCACTGGTTGGGGCTGTGGCAGGGACCCCTGGCTCCCTCCCTCAGCTGCCTCCCGTTGCCTTTGCCTGTGTCGACGAGGCCCACTGCCTGTCCCAGTGGTCCCACAACTTCCGGCCCTGCTACCTGCGTGTCTGCAAGGTGAGCCTCCTTTGGGGTGCGAGCGAAGGGGCAAGGGAGGGTGGGTGGGGCACCTTCACTGGCTCCTCTCCCACACAGGTGCTGCGGAAACACATGGGTGTCCGCTGCTTTCTGGGTCTTACGGCCACGGCTACGCACAGCACCTCAAGAGACATGGCTCAGCATCTAGGCGTGGCTGAGGAGCATGTCCTCAGAGGGCCAGTCACCATCCCTACCAACCTGTACCTCTCTGTGTCCACGGACAGGAACCCAGACCAGGTGAGTGGACACACCGGGGCCTGGCAGAGGCACTGCCTCTGACAGCCCGTGCTGACCGCTGTCGTCCACCAGGCTTTGGTGACACTGCTGCAGAGTGATCGTTTTCGCGACCTGAACTCTGTCATCGTCTACTGCAACAGACGCGAAGACACGGAGCGCATTGCTGCGCTGCTCCGCACTTGCCTGTGTGAGGCCTGGGACCTGGGGCCTAGAGGGGAGGTCAGCAGGGCTGTGCCCCACGGACCTGCCCCAGGAACACGTTCTACCCAACTGTCTGTCTTCTCTGCAGGCCAGGCCCCGGAAGCTGTGGCCGAAGCCTACCACGCCGGCATGTGTGCCCGGGAGCGGCGGCGGGTGCAGCAGGCCTTCATGGAGGGCCGGCTGCGGGTGGTGGTGGCCACAGTGGCCTTCGGGATGGGGCTGGACCGGCCAGACGTGCGGGCCGTGCTGCACCTGGGGCTGCCCCCCAGCTTTGAGAGCTACGTGCAGGCTGTGGGCCGGGCTGGACGGGACGGCCAGCCCGCACACTGCCACCTCTTTCTACAGCCCCAGGTTCTTACTTGCCCCACTTGAGCTCCCCCCACCCCACCCCACCGCCCCACGTTTACAGCTATTCTTTCGCAGGGTCAGGACCTGCAGGAGTTGCGTAGACACGTGCATGCCGAGGCCTCCGACTTCCTTGCCGTGAAGAAGCTGGTACAGTGCTCGTTCCCACCCTGCACCTGCACCCATGCCCAACAGCCTCCAGAGCAGGAGGGAGCCAAGAGCCAAGAGAGGCCTGTGACCGTGTCCCTGAGTGAGGCCAAGCAAGCCAGCAACAAAGGCCTAGCCCAGTGCCTGGGTCATGAGCGGGCACTCCCAGTGCAGCCGCTGGTGCAGGCCCTGGACATGCCTGAGGAGGGTGAGGAACTGGGGGCAGGAGTGGGTACCTCCCCGCATCCCCACGTCCCTGTGTCCCCTAAGCCCTGCTCTGCCTCCAGCCATTGAGACCCTGCTGTGCTACCTGGAGCTACACCCACGGCGCTGGCTGGAGCTGCTGGCACCCACCTATGCCTACTGCCACCTGCGCTGCCCTGGGGGCCTCCCCCAGCTCCAGGCCCTGGCCGGCAGGTGAGCACACATCCCACCCCAGGCTGGGGCCAGGGACACAGGACCAGGGCTGCTAATCACATATCCCTTTCCCTGGGACAGGTGTCCTCCACTGGCGGTCTGGTTAGCCCAGCAGCCACAGGAAAACATAGGCGAAGGAAGCTATTCCGTAGAGTTTGACGTGGTTAAGTTGGCCGACTCGATGGGCTGGAAGCTCGCCCCTGCAAAGCAGGCTCTCCGTCAACTGCAGTGGTACCCAGAGCCCAGGACAGGTGAGACCTGCCCCCAACCCTGCTTGGACCCAGCCCTGCTTGCCGCCCTCCTGCCTGTGTCTCACAAGCTCTCTGGCAGGTGCACATCGGGACACAGGGGTGCTGGTGGAGTTCCGGGAGCTCGCCTTCTGTCTGCACAGCCCCGGAGACCTGACAGCCCACGAGAAGGACCAGATCTGTGACTTCCTATATGAACGTGTACAAACCCGTGAGCAGGAGGCCCTGGCACGCCTGCGACGCACCTTCCAGGCCTTTCACAGGTGCAGGAGAGGTGGGCGGGACCGGAGGCCACCCCCGCTTCCCCCTCTGGTGAACCTCGCTGACAGATTCCTCTCACCCCAGTGTAGCCTTCCCCAGCTGCGGGCCCTGCTTGGAGCAGCCTGATGAGGAGCACAGTGCCAGGCTCAAGGCTCTGCTCAGCGGCTACTTCGAGGAAGAGGGGCCAGGAGGCATGGAAGACGAGCAGGGCCCAGAGCCAGGACAGGCCAGGGTGAGTGCCAGCCCCTCCTGGGGGGTTGAAGAGAGGACACAGGCCTGCAGTGAGGTCAGGCAGCAAAGTGCGTGCACACGCTTACACACTCTGTCTCCTGCCTTGCACCACGGTGGGCTGTGCGGAACTTGGTGCTGTGGAAGCGTGGGCTGGCCTTACGTGCCTGCCACCCACAGATCCAGGACTGGGAGGACCAGATACGCCAGGACGTCCGCCATCTCCTGTCCTCGTGGCCAGACCAGCAGTTCTCGGGCAGGGCTGTGGCCCGTATCTTCCATGGCATCGGTGAGGGCCTGGGACGCTGGGTTCGGACATGGGCAGGGGCCAGGTCTGGCCCAGAGTCCTCAGGGCCGTGTCTCCCACTCCGCCACAGGAAGCCCCTGCTATCCAGCCCAGGTGTATGGGCGGGACCGGCGTTTCTGGAGAAAACACCTGCATCTGAGCTTCCGTGCCCTGATGCGTTTAGCTACAGAGGAGATCCTGCTGTGGGGCCACTGACCACCCTGCCGCAGGCCAGCCCTGCTCCCCCATGTCACACACAGGGGGCTGTGTGGCCACCGTGCCGAGGGAGCCAGGTGTGGCAGTTTATCAGGGAAAAGAGAAGGGACATTTGTGGCCAAGATAGTGACTGACTACCTGGGCAAAGCCCACCACCAGAAGCGGGGCAAAGAGGCCCCAAAACGCGGAATAAAAAATGCTCAAGTCGTTCTTAGGAACCCTCTTTTCTTATGGGGCAGCCCCCACAGCCTGAGGACAGCCTTGCCCATCACACATCCCAGACAGCTAGGCCGTGGGCACGCTCAGCTTTATTAGGTGGGCTGGCCACCCAGCTCAGGCCAGGGTGCTGGGTGCCAGACCCAGATACAGAATGGGCATGCCTGAGAGAGCAAGGAAGAGGGAGAAGCAGAGATGCAGCCCCAGGCTGTCAGCCAGGGCTCCAGCCAGTGTGCCCAGGAACAGCTTCCCCAGCAGCTCCAGAGTGGCCAGGAGGCTGTAGTGTGTGGCCTGCGGGGGTGGGGTGGGGTGTGAGATCAAATGAGGGCTTGCTTGCATCCCAGCCCTGCAGCCCCTGGGCATCCCAGCCACACCGTCTTACCTGCAGGGCACTGGGTGCCAGCTGGCTGCAGTGCATCATCAGGGTGAATGTGGTGGTTGTAACCAGGCCCCCCAGGAAGTGTTGCAGACACAGGCTCAACAAGGCCGCCCCTGGGAGGGCCAAGATCAGTAGGGCCCGGGACTCTGGACTCCTCCCCTCCCGTGGCCAGCCCCTCACCTCTCAGGACGGTGCTGGGGCCCAGCCTGACCCCCGGGGTGTCCAGGTGGAAGAGCAGGGTGGTCTGGCAGGCCAGACCACCAAGACGGAAGCGAAGCACAGACCTCAGCAAAGGCAGTGGTTGCCTGGGGTGGGGAGATGGGGCAGGTCAGGGAGTGTGGAGCAAGGCAGGTGTGAGCAGGTGGGTGGGGCAAGCTGAGGAGGGCTCACCAGTGCCTGGCCAGCAGGGCCCCGCCCAGGGACGAGCCTACAATGGAGCAGACCACAGCGCCCACACCGTTCCACAGGCCCAGCTCTGGAGTAGAGATGCCATGGTCCAGCAGGAAGAGCGGAAACAAGCTGCTGGCGCCCTGCTCACCTGTGGGGAGAACGCGAGCAGGGGGGCTGCCCACCTCTCTTCACTTGGGGCCTCAGTTGCCTTCCCCTAGCCCGGCCCCTGCCTTGCCCCGGTCTTGGGCCACGGGTGCCAGGAGACAGCTGGGACTGGGCATCAGCCAAGCATAGGGTCAGCATGAAGCGGCATCTGAGACCCAAGGGGCTACGGCTGGAGCTCACAGAAGCCATGCAGCCAGAGCTGGAGAAGGACCAGAGGCAAAGCCCAGCTGCAGAGCCAGGCTGGGCTCCAGCCTACAGTTAATACCCCAGAAGGTGGCCACAAAATGGGTTCCGGGGCTCCTGGGGATCCACCTGCAGGCTCCCGTCCCTGCTGTTGCCTGACTCAAGGCCTCACTTACCCAGTTTGTAAGTGAGCACAAAGCCTGCTGTCCACAGAGTACCAGGCATGGCCAGCAATTCCTGCAGAAGGTGCAGGGTGCGGAGGGGTCGTTCTGAGGGCTGAGATACAGGCAACTGCTGCAGGGCTGGTGCAGCCCAGACCAGAGCAGCAGCCAACCAATAGATGGCAGCCAGGAGCAGAAAGAGCAGGGGCCAGGAGAGGGTGGGCACGAGGGCCAACAGGCCCCCTCCCGCCAGCACTGCCCCTAGCTTATAAGCGACCACCTGCACTGTGTTACCAGGCCCTAGCTCGGCTGGCTCCAAGAGTTGTACGGCCAGCGTGTCCAGGGCCACGTCCTGCACAGCCGCACCCAGGTTCAGCAGCAGAAGCAGCCCTGCCACGGTGACAGGCAGCCCAGCCTGGCCAGCTTCTGCAGGAGGCAGGACTGCCAGCAGCCCACACACCAGGCCCAGAGCAGCCGTGCTGAGCATCAGCCAGACCCTCAGGGAGCCCCGCGTGTCCACCAGTGGGGCCCACAGGAGTTTAAACAGCCACGGCAGGTACAGCACTTTGGCCAGTCCCACACGTGTCAGGGAGAGGCCGCGCGCCCGCAGCAGCACGGGCAGCAGGCCGGACTGCAGCCCATAGGGCAAGCCTTGCACTAGGTAGAGCCCGGCCAGCGGCAGGAGCTTCCCATGCATGGCCAGGAGCGCGGGGAGCCCGAGGGCGAGTGCTGGGGGATCAGGGGCTGGGGCTGGGCCTGGAATCTGGTGGCCCGGGCTGGGTTCAAGGCCAGGTCAGAGCCCGGATCGGAATCAGAGGTCCGGCTTGGAGTAGGGGCAGGCAAAGCGGTTCCGGGTGGGGCCCGCTCCGGTCAGGATGAAGTCAGGGATCATACGGCGTCATGGCTCTTGGGCTGGGCCAGTCAGGTCAGGGCTGTGCAGGCTGGCGTCCGGACCGGTACCCTCGGGTCCAGAGGCGGCGCGCCCTCCACAGACCGCTCTCTACGCAGCCGTGAGATGCGGCGGCCACAGAGCTCGAGAAGCGGGCCAGAGCGCCGGCCGCCCTCGGGCGCCCCCCGTGGCCACCCCGGGTGCGGCCGGGGAGCCTTGAGCACGCGCCGCGGGCAGCCCGGCTGATGTTGAGCCTGTGGCCCATCCCGGTCCTTCCCAAGGTTATCAGGTCCGGCTCCCAGACCCCCGGGACCCACACCCTAACTCTGCAGAAGTGCTTGCTTCCTTGGTGCCTCACCTGGAGCCTGGTTCTGCAGTGTCCACCGGGTCCTTCCGGCAGCCCCCACGGTCTACTACTGCTTACTTCCGCCGCTGGCACCCTCGCCTCCTTCTGGCTGTGCTTCCGGTGCCTTCCCCTAGCCAGTGGCCACAGAGGACCATGAAAGGCAGGTTTGTGTGAAAGGTCTCAGCCGGAGGGACGCAGCCAGCTGCTCCCCGCGACGCCCTCTAGCGTCCAGTGACAAGGCCAGGAGAGGAGGGCAGGCGGGCCCAAGTCCTGCCAGACTCCAGCCGGCTCTGTGGAGGGAGGCGCCCCTCCAAGCGTTTCATGCCTTCTCTCCCCTGCCCAGAGCTGCATCCCAGAGGGCTCCCAAGGCCCAGAGGAGGTAGCGGGTGTGGCCCAGGGTTAGGAACCACCTCCAGGGCAGACAGAGCTAGAGTGCTAGTACTGGCTCCTAACCCTTGACCCCCTGAAGCCAGCCCAACCCTGAGAGCAACAGCTGGTGCAGCCACCGAGTGGGTCTCCTGTCACTTCAACAAGTTTCCTCGTCTGTAAAAAGGGGACTGCCATCCCTCCGTAAGAAGACTGCAGTGACCCACAGAGTGCGCACACCGTAGACACTAGTCCTTGCTCCAGTGGCAAGGGCAGAGGGCTGCACACCCGCCAGGGCCTGGGCCTCCCCAGGGTGCCCCTCTGTCAGCATTTTACACACTCGTGTTTCCGCCCCTGCCCTTGGGCACTTGGGCTTGGGAGGGGCCTCCACCCTCACGGGCCCCAGGACTGCATTTGTGCTAGGATATCACATCTCACACTTCAAATCCATACAAACAAAGCAAGAGTCGCTTGCTCATTCTTCCTCCCCTCCCCTCCCCTCCCCTGCTTTCCAGCAGCCTCAGGTGGCAGCACCAGGCCATCTGCCCATTTAGGAGGAAGACCAAGACGTCCTCCCTTGAGTGCTGCCCACCCATCCAGCCAGCTCCAGCCTACAGTTCACTGCTGCCAGGAGAGAGGTGGACAGTACACCAAGGGGAGCCAGGCCAGGGGACACAGCTTTCTGTGTCTTCCTTAGGCTACTGTTTCTGATGTGGCCACCCTGGGACTCAGTTCCCCTGTTTCTTTGTCCAGCGTCATCACCAACCCTAACGGAAAGGCCCAGTACCTTCCTTCACACCTCCTTCTCTTCCTAATTTTTATGTGAAGTTTGCCACTCTCTGCCTTGGGACCAGACACCAGAGTGGAAACGCAGCCCATGAGAGGCACCGCATCTGTTGTAAGGTCACCTCCTCTGGGAGCCCTCCTTGACCACTCCTCCTGAAGGCTGACAAATGTCACCCAGCCCCGCCGCGCAGGCTCTCCAGGCCCGCACAGAACCCCAGCTCAGAAAGGAACTCCGGAGTGGACAAAGGCAGGGGAAGCTCATACAGCTACGCACACCTGAAGTAGTCAGGCTGTTTCATAGCTTTATTGGGGGCCTGCAGAAAGGCAGGGGGCCCAGCCCCGCAGGCAGCAGGAGCAAGTCCTGAGGGCTCCAGAGACCCCCAGGGCCCTGGGCATGGTAAGTCCAGGGTCGGCCCTGCCGGCCCAGCCTGGCCCCAAAGCGGGGAGGGGAATGGTTAGGAGTACTCTCGGGTGAACTTGGCGTGGAACTGGCTCAGCTTCTCCAGCAGAGGCCGCAGCTTCTCCAAGGGGGGCAGAATGGTCATCCTAAAAAGGGAGGGAGGTAAGCAAAGGTGTTGCGGGCTGCGGGGAGGAGCCGCGCGGGGCCGGGCCTCACCGGAAGTGGTAGGTGCCTTCCTTCTGCCCGAAGCCACTCCCGGGCACCACGCAGATGCCAGTCTCCTCCAGAAGGCGCAAGCAGAAGAACATGTCGGGCGCCAGGCCCAGCTCCTGAGGTCGGGCGGCGAGGAGGAGCGGTCAGAGCTCGGCGCCCAGGCCCCGCCCTCCCCCGGGGCCCCGCCCTCCCCCGGGGCCCCGCCCTCCCCGGGGGCCCCGCCCTCCCCGGGGGCCCCGCCCCCCCCGGCGGCCCCAACCCCCCCCGACCGGCGCGCGCGGGTCGGCGCGCGGGGGCAGCGGCACGGGGGGG